GTCTTGTGTTGCCCTTAGTGTTTCATTCACTAAAGTGTAAGCCACGTGAATACGGGCTTTGTGTTGTCTTGAGGCCACCCACACAGTGCTTGGTTTAGAGCCACTCAGGTGTAGGATCAGCTTAAAAAGATAAGCTGCTGGCCTCAGGTCCGAAGTGGGCATGGATACTGCGAGGCAGGCCTGCATTTCTCAAGACTCGTCACTATTCTCTCTTCTGAGGGGACTTCCGCCGTAGGCTCCCCCACATCACCCGTGTCCCCTCCCTTTCACTCCTAGCGGATGACCCTCCCTCATGCCTCATGGAAACAGTGCAGCCTGAGGGGCTGTGCTCTGTCCCCCACACCTGCCCTCTCCATTCTCACAGCAGCTCCTGGCTGTGCTCCGCGCCTGCCTCCCTGCCACTGGCGGCCGACTCTCCCTGGGGCATGTGGTTGTGACTTCTAGGCCATCTTTTACAGATCCCACTGACTCCACTTCCCCTTCCCCATCCACAGCTCCTAGTCTGCTTCCTCATGGCACCCAAATGGCCTTTAAACCTGGGACCTCCTCGTCACTTGCCCTTCCTCTCCTGCCGTGTGAGGCCACCCTGGTTCTGTCTCCCGTGCTGGGACTGCTCACTTTTCGTTCCGTGATTTCGAGCTGTAAGTGCCAACCTCCTGTGTGGCAACTGATGATTCCGCTTTTCACTGATACTATCTTCAGCCCACCTGTACCCCCACTCCCCACAAATAAAGAGGTTGAAAGAAATCTGTTGCAAGTTTTTGTTATATAGTATTTTGTTAACAGGTAAATATTGTGTATTATTGAACTATGCCTTTTCTTTTTCATACAAGTTTTCACTTTTCTAGAGCTAATGATTGCCTGATTTTCTCATATGCTTAGTTATCTGTGTCTTTAGTGCATTTATTTGTTTGTTTTTTGGTTTTGTTTGTTTTGTTAGCAAACACTTCAACAGCTCTATCAAATACCAACACATCAGATCAGCTCTCAGCTCTTCTTGTCCCCAGACCAGTCTCCTGCGCCTAGACAGCCACTCTGAGGCCTGCTGGCCGCCTGGCTCGTGTCCTGAGATTCTCCTCACCATTTTTTAGAAGTCAGATCCCTGATCTTTCTCTTGGCTTTTTCTCTCATTTTGCCAAATTGCCTCTCGCAGCAGTTTCCTGAGAACACGTTTGTTTGTTTGTTTGTTTTGGCTCTTTGCGTATTCAAAAACATTTTTATTCCTCCTTCAGATTTGATTGAAAACTTGACTAGGTCTAGCATTTTGGGTTGAAAATTGGCTTCTCCCAGAATTTTGAGGGTGGCAACCACCCATGTTTCCTGCAACCCGTGTGATGCCATCTGACTCCCTCTCTGTATGTGACCTGTTCATTTGCTTTGGAAATTTTTAGAATCTCCTATTTGTCCCTGGTATTGAGATGTGCACAGCCTGGGTCTGCCGTCAGCCATGCGGGGCTTCTGAGCCTGGGAACGGGGCCTTGGTTGCTTCTCCCTTGCTTTCTCTGTTGTGTTTCTAGAACTCATCAGCTGGGAGGTGGGCCGCCGAAACGGATCCTCTGGTTGTCTTATCCTTCATGTTGTCCATCTCTTTTCTTTCTGCTCTACCCTTTGGAGGAGATCTGAAGGTTTTTGTTATTACTGTTGCCCTTTGGATTTCACATGGCACTTTTTCCTCCTATTTCCTTCTCAAGCATATTCTTCCCTTCCTGGGGGCCCCGCTGGATGTCCTGGCTGAGACCAGCCCAGGTGTTCTCCCCCACTCACCAGCAGGGGTTTGTCACCTCGGGCACAGGGTCCCACATCCAGCATCCCTCTCCTCTCCGTCAGGCGGGGTTGATGATAGCCCTGCTTCCTGGGGCTCCTAGAAGGCCTGATTAGGTTAGTGCAGGGCTCGCGTGTGGTTAGAATAGCACCTGGCTCCTATTAAGCACTCAGCCAAGCACTGGGGCTGCAGCGTCTGGTGGTAGTTAACAGCTCCCCAGAACATGAATTGGGCTTTCCCGTCTCTCTTTGTTCAGATTCCATCCTTGTTTTTGTTTTTTGTTATCTTTTACTGAGATGGAATCTCGCTCTGTTGCCCAGGCTGGAGTACAGTGGTTAGAGATGGGGCTTTGCAATATTGGCCAGGCTGGTCTTGAACTCCTGACCTCAGATGTAATCCACCCACCTCAGCCTCCCAGAGTGCTGGGATTACAGGCGTGAGCCACTGTGTCCGGCTCCACCCATTTTTGTTTTGGTGACTTCTTGAGGCTCTGCAGGTCGTGGCTGTTGGTTTCTATTTCTGAGTGGAGCGAGGCTGCTGTTTCTGTGGGCGTGGGCTTTTCAGCTGGCAGCTTCACTGTGGTTGGCCATGTCCTTGTGAAACCCCAATGTTCAAATATTGAGGCCCTTTCCCCTGGGCTGGAGTATTTCAGAGGGCACCCTGGGGACAGTGGCTGGTAGCCAGTGTCTGAGGAACAGGAAGCTGGAGTAGCTGTGTGCTCCCACCTGGCAGGGGGGATGGGGGCGACCTGGGGAAAGCAGCTGCGGAAAGACTTTCTGCATCTCTGTGCCAGCCCCTTGCTGTCCCCACGTTTGTTGAAGCTGCTCACATAGATGCTTTTTCTGCTTTCTTCTGACACCTGGGCGGGGGTGGGAGGGTAAAGGAGATGAACACACACGCGTGGCCCACCGTGTTCGGCGGGGGGGAGTCTGAGAGGACTCGGGGTGGCTGCCAACACCTTGCGGATTTGATGTGACCCGGATGTTGGGTGAGGATTGCACAGCCAGCCGGCAGTGGTGCCATGGCAGGTGCGTTGTGACATCGCAGTGGAGCCCATCTGGCTGAGAAGAGACCCGATGCCTCCCCGGGACTGCCAGGAGGTGCCAGGCTGTACTGTGGGCAGAAGCCCCCCCTACCCCAGCAGGGAAATGGAGGCAGAATGCAGCCATGGTGAAGTTTATGGTAGTTTTAAAATACCTAACTCAACTTTGGGACGCTGAGGCAAGTTGATCACTTGAGACTGAGGCGGGCCGATCACGTGAGGCCAGGAATTGGAGACAAGTCTGGTCAACATGGCAAAAACCCCATCTCTACTAAAAATACAAAAATTAGCTGGGTGTGGTGGCGCATGCGAGTAATCCTAGTGCCTCAGGAGGCTGAGACGTGAGAATCACGTGTACCCTGGAGATGGAGGTTGCGATGAGCCAAGATCGAGCCACCGCACTCCAGCCTGTCTCAAAAAAAAAAAAAAAAAAAAAACCGAAAACATAACTTGGTGTCTTTAATACCATATTTATGCTTTCAGCATCAGTCTGGTTATTAAAAACTATCTCCATCAGGTTAATTTGATATTGATAATTTAAATGTTGGTTTTGTAATTTTGTGTATTTAGTTTGGGTTTAGAGATTGAGCGCTGCAGTATTTCTAACTTTAGGTTCACGCATGTTTGCGTAGCTTAATGAAATTTCTCAGCACCGACAGTTACGGGAGTTTCTCTTTTAAAAGACTCAGTCCATTTTAATTAAGTTCGAAAATCACTGACAGAGCTAGAATACCATTAATTATGTAATTTTATACACCCTCTGGGTATAAATGACATAGATGTAGACCTTTTTAATCCGATACATAGTATTTTAGTTTCATTTAAGCAAGTTAGGTTATTTTCAGTAATTTAATAGTGACACTTCTAAGAAGCAACCTAATCCTTCTTCCAAAGTCTGAAGGTTTTTAAAAAGAAAGAAATCCCAGGCCAGGGATTCCCATGTGAAGCCGGTGAACAGTGCCAGCCGCAGGAGCTCGCTGTGTAGATGTTGGTGGAAATCCTTCACTAACACGATTAAAATGCCTTTGCAGACCTTTCAGACTTGCATTCTAGTAGAGCCACTTTTAGGGGGAGCTCTTCGAGTTACTTCAGCTTTAGGGCCCATATGTTAGTAAGTAGGTTGTTTACAATACCATTTAGTGGTTTTTTACTTCTTACTTTAAAGATACCATGAGCCCTGGGTGAGCCCTTGAGTTGGTGCCCAGCAGGGGGGTGAGCTTGTAGTGTTCTAGCTGTTCCTGAGACTCCCCCACACTGCAGGGTAAGGCGAAGAGTCCCGCTGTGACCATAGGACAAGCTCCAGTAGGCCCCTCGGGAGACCACACCAGGCCTTATCCTCGTCAGTCCGCACACGACACAGCAGCACTGCAGAGAAGCCAGCTTCCTCCAGAGTCCATCATGGAACTGCTCCCTGAAAATATAAAATCTTTGTCCAAGTGACAGACTTGGGATTTTTTTTTTTTTTTTAATGTCTGTCATAAATCCAGACGCTCCACTCCCAACCCGAAGGGTTAGCCTCAGGACACCTGAGGACTTCTGCACTGTTCAGTGATGGTGTTTCTTCTGCCCCGGGGTCTTGGCCTCTGTTGAGCTGGTATCTGGGGTCTTTGTTATGGTGTCAGAGATCTCAAGGCCTCCCTGACAGTTGTCTCACTTGGTAATGATGTCATCATTATCAATGGTGGTAACTGTATCCAGACAGTGACATGGAACTTCTACTGTCTAGAATATTACATTGTACAGAAGCCAACAAAGCATAGAATGTTACAACGTTTTTATTACTATTGTATAAGAATCAGATTTATTGTAAAAGTTAACATTAGGTGTGCATTATAAAGTTAGGCAACATTCTTCAGGACCCATTTTTTTCCATTTTTTTCTTTTAAAAATGAATTTTCTAAATTTCTACACTTTATCCTTGCATCAAGACAACGCAGTCTAGATAAATCCTGGTGCACCGGGGGCCCAGGCGTGGAGGTGGAGTAAAACTCCCATTCACCTGTGCTGGCAGGTTCTCTGCACCAGAACCAAGGAGTGGCCGCTTGGCAATTACAAGTTTGCCATGACAATTTTGCTTTATTCTGGGAGAACGTTGTATATGTTTATCTTTCTTTTGATCCTTTTTATTAGTTTTTTGGTATCGTGACTCCTCCCCAAAACCGCATCTGGTAAATCGCTTCTGTATTTTGTTGACAGCGGACATCATTTCCACCGTTGAGTTTAATTACTCTGGAGATCTTCTTGCAACAGGAGACAAGGGCGGCAGAGTTGTTATTTTTCAGCGTGAACAAGAGGTCAGTAATTTTCAGTCCACAAACCAAATGCAATTATTCAACCTTTCGCATATAACTTAGAAGGGAGGACGCAAAATTGTTTTCTCATTGTCTCATTTCATTAAGATTCAGTTCCATCACATTAGCCATACAGAGTCTCCTTTCGGAAAGTCTCTAAGTTCTGGCTTCAGCTGCTGAGCCCCGGTGAAGTCTCCAAGGCCTTTGTCTTCAGAGTAGGGAGGAGATTCCGCTGGGGACCCCATGAAGGATGCAGGGTGATGGTGAGGTGCATTTATGTGCTTTCATTCCATAAGAACTCAGGCGGCTGTCTCTGAAAATCCCTTTATTCGCCTGTGCGGGTTCTGGCCCAGCCCTGCCGTGAGGGAGAAGAGCGTTCTGTAGGGCACTGTGCTGTGAGCAGCTTTCTCAGCACTTCCTGCAGAGAAGTCTGGCAGGGGTGTGAATTCTCTCTTCCCTTCAAGGAGAGGTGAGCAGCACTCACTCCTCCATGCCCCCTTGAAGGCTTCACCTGTCCAGAGGGAAGGGAACCTTCAGAGTGTGGGCCTTGGAGGAGCCCACAGCTCATAAACAAACACTGGCTTCCAGGTCACGGCACTTCCTTTTCACTGATGCCTTGCCAGCCCCCTCCCTCTTCTTTCTGGAGCCTCGTCAGAGGTCCTCATGAGCAGTGATAAAGGAAGCGAGATCATGATTTGGTAGGCAAGGATGCCGGGCAGGAACCTTGGCTCGGCGCAGCCATGCCTGGAGTCTGAAATATTTGTCCTGCCTTTTCCTTAACAGAGTGTAAATACTGTCCCTTGCCCTTCCTGTCTCTGAGTTTCCTAACAGATGAAAGGGACAGTTTATCATCTCCAAAGTCTGGTCTGTAAATTTACGTGGTGAACTTTGGTTTAGAGGCTGGTGGGCCCTGGTTCCCCACTCTGCAGATCTGTACTCAGGAAGTGCTGGCCCTGCCCCCAGGAAGGGGAGCCTGGAGGAGGACTGTCCCTGGGCCACATGGGGAAAATTGACAGGTGCTAACCAATTTCATTATCAAAACATATCTGTTGCAGCTTTAATTTTGATTATGTCCAGGTAGTTAAAGATTTTTTATAATTCCTGTTTTCTCTGATTTGGGATGGTAAGAAATCCTTTTGTGAGTAGTAAATATATTATCAGTCTTTCTAAATCTTCACAGTTTGATATATTTATAATTTTGTATTTTTATCTCAGAAGTAGAATATCACATGATGCTACTTAAGAACCATATACCTTGGCCAGGCGCAGTGGCTCACGCCTGTAATTCCAGCACTTTAGAAGGCCGAGGTAGGCCGATCACCTGAGGTCGGGAGTTCGAGACTAGGCTGACCAACATGGAGAAACCCTGTCTCTACGAAAAATACAAAATTAGCCGGGCATGGTGGTACATGCCTGTAATCCCAGCTATTCGGGAGGCTGAGGCAGGAAATCACTTGAACCTGGGAGGCAGAGGTTGCAGTGAGCCAAGATCGCACCATTGCACTCCAGCCTGGGCAACAAGAGCGAGACTTCATCTCAAAAAAAAAAAAAAAAAAGAAGAACCATACACCTTACCTTTTTCAACAGAAGTAAAAGTGGGTTGTGGTGTTAAATAATACTTTTAAAGCGGGACGAGTTTTTGTTTTTTTGAGATGGAGTCTTGCTCTGTCGCCCAAACAGGAGTGCAATGGCGTGATCTCGGCTCACTGCAACCTCCGTCTCCCGGGTTTAAGTGGTTCTCCTTGCCTCAGCCTCCCGAGTAGCTGGGATTATAGGCACGCACCACCACACTCGGCTAATTTTTGCATTTTTAGTAGAGATGGGGTTTCACCATGTTGGCCAGGTTGGTCTCGAACTCCTGACCTCAGGTGATCCACCCACCTTGGCCTCCCACAGTACTGGGGTTGCAGGCATGGACCACCACGCCTGAGCAGCAGGAGGATTTTTTAACAAATTGCTGAGTCATGGTTATCTTACTGCAAAACTTCACTTTTAGCTTCTTTAAAAAGTCTGTCCTTGTAGCAACAGCCTTAGGGAAAATACCTCATCCCTGCCTAACAGATTTTAGGATAGAAAATGGAATTTCTCTTGTTTTTGTGAATCGTTGCTTAACCCCAAAAATAATAGTCTCAAATATAAAACAGACCGTGATAAAAGTCAAGCATCTCGTTCTAAAATATGTTGGGTATTGGAGTTTTAAGTGCTTATTTAAGATATATTAAGTTGTTATGTGAGTGACAGATTTACACAGGAGCAAGTCCCTACTAAAGTTCTTTAATAAACCCAGTCAACTGCAACTTGATAAACCCCAGGCAGTTTTTTTCTTTTCCTTCATATTTTGGTTAACATCTGAAAGGCCTGCATGTTCCATCTGTTTTTAGAATATTTCGCTGGTTGCCACGTGTGACCCTCACTGTGGTCCTGTGTTTCTGTGTGGGTGAGGGTGGCAGTGCATGTTTTCATCCGTGGTCGGAGAGGCCACGGATGGTGTTGCAGCTGCCAAGAGGATGAAGCTGCTGCCCATTAAGCGACCCCAGCTCCCAGTTAGAAGCTGCAGCAAGGTTCAGAGGTGTCCACCTGTGCATCTTAGAATCAAAGGAGCATGGGGGATTCAGAAGGCTAGTGAGTGCCCCAGCAGATTGTGGAAGGTGCAGGGCCTGAGGTTCAGGAGTCAGGCCCATAGAAGCTTGTTGGGAAGCTCTGGCTATGCAGAAGATGAGGTAGGGAGCATAGTCAGCACCTTGAGTTTCAAGCTTTTCTTATTTTTCTGTGCAGATTAAGTCTTACAGGAAAGCCCAGCTGGTAAAACTAAGGCACACAGAATTTATGGATGTGGCTGTGCAGCTCCCTGCCCTCCAGGCTCAGCTCTAGTCCCCAGGAATCAGGTTAAATCAGAAATCAGCATGTCCAAAAAGAGAAGGTGCTTGCTTCCTCCTCCTCTTCCTGTGTGTTACTCCCCTACTCCTGTCTCTGTCCCTGCCGAGGCTTCCTTTAGAGTTCCTTTCCCTAGCAGAGCGGCTCTCCATGAGATCTCGGAGTGTTGGAGGAGGCTGAGGGGTTGCTTGGGTTTTGGGTGTCTGGGATGGGAGTTGGAACCAGTACATGGCAGAGAGACAAGCCTGCAGCCCAGGGATCATTCTTGTTCTGGCTCCTGGGAGAAAGGGTGGCGCAGGCAGCACTTTGACTTGGACATTTTATTTTTTTGCCTATATTCCGCTGGTTTTTCTTGATAGATGAATGTCTCGGGTATAGGACTAATTTAGTTATACAGATTTTTCTTTTTAAATAATTCGGTTCCATTTTTCTCCCTTGCAATAGAACCGTCTGTTGAGGGGCTGTGCTTTTTTGTAGAGGGGTAGGAGAGGGTCAAAGGAGAGCAGTTTCGACATCTGCCCTGTGCAGCACACGCGGGGCAGTCAGCGGCGAGGCGCTCAGCTCCTGCCCACGGAGGCTTCGGTGGAAGGAGTGCCCTGCACATCGGACTCCGTGCGGCGGAGAGCTGTGGCCTAGCTTCTTGGGATGTCTTCTGATACGTGATCAGATTGGAAATATAAAGGAACATCTGTCGAGACTTAAAAGTTTGTTTAGTTCTGTTTCTTTAGCATATGTACTAAAATGTTAAACACCTAAGATATTAGATATTGGTTATAGAGCAAGAATGAAAATACTGGCGTCCTTGATTTTGAATTATGAAATATTTAATACTTAATAGAAAATTTCATTTAGGGCGTACAGAAGATTCAGAGGTTAATATAGATGTACCTGCAAACCCACTACCCGGAGATTATCCCTTCATCAAAGGAAAGAGAGTGCTTGGGATACCGATGACGCTCCTGTTGTCCCCTCCCCGTTTCATCCTGCTACTTTCCTCCCAGTCTTTTTCCTTCTCCCTCTCTCTACCTTCCCAGAGTTGCTCCTGATTTCAAAGATGGTATATATCTTCCCAAGCATGTTTCTCTACTTCTGTAACAGAATCGTTCTGTGCATATGTAAGCAGCGCCTCACTCTGGGCGCCTGTGCGGCCTGCTTCACTTGGGCAGCACTGTGCCGTTGTCTGTGCTTGCTCATTTATCTCAGCCCGCACGGCTCTGTGGCTTACTGGTGCCCTTCTCCTCTGGTTGGCATGCGTGTGGCATCTGGTTCACTACCACTGTGTTGGAGCCGCCACATCGCTGTGCCGCGCTCCTCGGGCCCGTGCCGGCTCTCCTGTAGAGCAGACTCTGCAGACGCTTTCTCTCCAGGGCCAGATTGCAAACATTTTTGCCTCTGTAGCTCATGCGGCCTTTTCACAACCACTCACCTCTACCCAGATGGTACAGAAGCAGCCAGACACAGTATGTGCACACATGGGCCTGACTGTTCCACTAACACTTGCCTTAAATACAGCAGGCAGCATTTGGCAGACCCTGCTCCAGATGCATACCTAGAAGTGGAATAGAAGAGTTGGAAATCAGGTTCTTTCTTTTTTGTTTTTTTCCCCAAAACATTGATTCTGAGTTTCATCTGTTTGAGATTTTTTTGAGCCAGGATTTTTTAGCTTTAAAAAATACGTATGGTCATTTGATATTCAAATTTATAGTACAGAAATTTTCTCTGCACTGTGCTTTGTTCATTAAAACAGCTCTCATGTTTCTTTGCAGAACAAAAGCCGCCCTCATTCTAGGGGAGAATATAATGTTTACAGCACTTTTCAAAGTCATGAACCAGAGTTTGACTATTTGAAAAGTCTAGAAATTGAGGAAAAAATTAATAAAATTAGGTGGTTACCACAACAGAATGCTGCTCATTTTCTACTCTCTACAAATGGTAAGAATTGTTTTCTAAGTGGCTGATTTAGTGTTTTATTTTTAATTTTCTGTGTGTGTAGATTTCTTTTTATTTTAGAAGTTAATCCTGCTTTAAATTTTGTGGGGAGGGTAAGTTATCTAGGGTAGCAAGTGATAGGTTGAAAATTCAAAGTATGCAACAAAAACCACACGTGCAAGTTACTAGGATGTTACTCTGCACGTCTCCACATCTTTGTTTATTGTGCAAAACACCTCCAATTGGAAATATTCATGTTCAAAGACCCCATAGCTTATAAACCAACATAGGGCCACACCGCTTTCTAATATAATACTCAAACAGTAGTGATGCATGTTACAGTTTTTCTTTTCATATGGAGAATGAGGTTTTTATTTTCAGATAAAACTATAAAATTATGGAAAATAAGTGAACGGGATAAAAGAGCAGAAGGTTATAACCTGAAAGACGAAGATGGAAGACTTCGAGATCCGTTTAGAATCACAGCACTACGGGTATACGTTGCCTTTTCTTTATCCAATGCCGTTCAGAAGTTAAGAATAAACGTTTACGTCTGCTGTTTGGAGAGTCCTGCTGGGTGGAATACTGTGAGGTCCGCCTCCTGAGTCATGAAAGGCATTTGCGCTCATGACACGTGTTTAAAGCAAGGTCTTTCTCCTATTTTCACAAAGGCAAAAAGTCACATGTGGTCTTTAGACAATACTGCAATACTAAGGGGAAAACTCACATCTAATTCTACAGCAGAAATCTTGGTGGACGTACCGACCACCCTTCTCTCTGAAGGTTCGGAACAGCACCTGGCAAGTTGAAGTTCAGATGGAATTCCGAACACTTCGCAGGTGAAACAGCACAGGCTGCAGATCGAAAGATAGGCTGTGGGCCACCAAGATGCATTCAGGATGTTCTCATGGCATTTCTTTGGGGTTGACTTAGGCAGATGCTGACAGTTCAGAACTCTTCACCTGTCCGTCCATGAGCATCATTACTTTTTTAATTGTTAAGTTATTTGCTCCATTGTTGGCGCCCCCCTATCCCCACCCCCCCCCCCCCCCGCATCATGCAGTATGAAATGACCATATTTCGTCAATTCCAGGGCCTAGATTTTTTCACATTTTAACATCTATGAAATCGGGTAAAACTTAAAACCTCAATGTCTTATAATTGGCCTGGTGCTACGTACGACTGATGTGTGTCTTAAATTAGATGGAACATGGTGAAGGGTGTCCAGCAAACTGGACTCCAGCCCGGGTGTGTCTTGGTGAGAAACCAGCACCTGTGCAGAGGTGTGTCCCCTGGAAGGAAACCCTGCCTGGTCCCAAGGGAGTGCCATTACTAGATCTGAAAACGGTTGGTGGGTGGGTGGGTGGGTTGGCTGGTTGGTTAATTGGTTGGGTGGTTTCGTTGCCGGGGGGTGGGTGTGGCTGGTTGAGTTGGTTGGGTTGGGTGGCTGGTTTTTAATGAGATTTCAGCCCGTTACGCTATTGTTTATCAAGTGAAGCCGAGTGAGCGAGCCCATTCCACATTAGCCTTTGAAGTGCTACAGAGAAGGACGCTGAGCTGCAGAAGCCTTTCCCTAACACACCTGCCCCTGGGAGTGACGCTGGGTCTGTTCTGATGCCATTTCTCCAGCTTTGCCGTGCGGGGTGGGTGCACCTGGGGTCGTGCATTCCCCAATTTCCCAGGAGGAGTGTCCTCAGACTTCTCACATCGAGGTTATCACCCTGTTTCCTATGAGCTCATCAAAGTGAGAAAGGCTGTGGCATGTGCTGAAAATGTAGTTTATAGGGTCCTAATATGAGCCAAGATGTTTCAATCCAAAATGGTGGTGGTGTCTGATACGCAGTGCCGCTGCCTTTGCATCCATGAATTAGTGTAAATCATTTTTAGTGACAGTGACACGAGTTGTGCAGTTCCTTTATCATGAAACTGCTGACCCTAAAGTAGAAGTGTGATGGGACCCCTGAGGGTGGGCACTTGACCCCCTCCAGTCTCGTCCATCTCTTCTACAGGCAACACCACCTCCCACCCAGGTACCTGTGCATACCCCACCCTCAGAAACCCCTGTTCCTCCCGATCAGACCCTGCCACAACCCATGACTTCACATGCTCATTTTGGGAAAACAGTAGGCCTTTACTAGGCCCAGTCTTGGTTTTATTCAAGGCTGCTTTTGTAGGTTTAGCCTAAATAAAATGGGTATAATTGGTGGCCCTACTGAAGGCTTGTGAGAAGTATAGTTATTTCATTAGTCAGTGCATGGGGAAGAGACCACAGACAGGTAATTCTGTACAATGACTTAGGTCAGTATTTGAGATTGTACCTCTCTAACAGTTCAGAATGGGCTATTTATGTATCTGAGCCTAACTGGGTAAGAGTCAGAAATGTTGCTATTTTTAAATTTTTGCTCTTAAATTATTTTAGTGCCAGAAAAGGGATATAATTAAAAGAAGAAATCTTGGCCAGGCACGGTGGCTCATACCTATAATCCCAGCACTTTGGGAGACTGAGATGGGAGGATCACTTGAGCCCAGGAGTTCAAGACCAGCCTGGGCAACATAGCCAGACCCCATCTCTAAAAATGAAAACAAATTATTTTATATGTAAATTAAAATTTTTTAAAATAAAAGAAGGAATCTTTGTAAGTATTGCAGCCATCATGTGTTTTGATTAATGGGAGATTTGTTAGAGGATTGTGGCAGGTGTGTGTTTTTTAAGCCTGAACTTCATTGAACTGACTCTTCTTGATCTAAAGAATCCAAGGCTGTGGTCAGCACTAACTGGGTTAAAATGGGGGAAGTCTCACTACACACACTTCTCCACGTTCGTTTTTTACAGAATTTGGCCAGACAAGACTCAGTTGAGAGATTTTTTTTCCCTAAGCTTTCAAGGCTCTCCCTTTTGGTTTCTAATTACAAGAATAACAAAAAATACTCTCATTAATTTTTTGTTTTGATTTTAAAGCTTATGTTTTTCTTCCAGCTGGGTGTTAGGGAGATGCAGACCTTTGTCCTTTTTTCATGTGTGATGCTATTCCTCACACCTGAGCTCTCACCTCTGACCGCAGGCGGCCTCCAGCCAGCACCCTTCTCCTCTCTGTCCTTTCCATTTCAGTGTGAATTGGGCTTCCCTAGAAGCCTCCCTGACCGCCGCACTCGACACAGAGATGGGTGCGGGAGGTACCTTTTACTTTTTGTTTTAACCTCAGATGAAGTGTAATGAATAATACATACCTCCAAATAATATGTCTGCCCTATAAGTGACCAGCTCCATGAATGTTTGTAGACTGGACATGCCCATGTAGTCAGCCCCAGACCAAGAAATGGAACATCCTCAGCTCCCCAGCACCCACCTGTGCACCCTGCCAGTCCCTGGAGCCGGTGGAGGCTTGTGGGGTTTGCACCAAGAAGCATAGTCCTGGTGCAGTGAGAGGAGTTTTGTGCATGTAGCTGCAAGGAGAGGACAAAGGGAGGGGCTCAGCTGAGCCACCCAGGAAGACTTTGCTGTCCAGCGTCTCAGTGTGGCCACCAGAGGACGCATAGGAGAGGGAGCCGCAGGCCTTGGTGCCTGGGCAGCTTGTACCGTGCCAGCTGATCTTTTCTTCAGCAGGAAGAAAATGTCGACCTCGGTAATGGAAGCAAGGGGGAACACTTGGAATAGACAGTATTCAATTTTGTAGCGTATTTTCATAACTCTGCTAATTGGTTATTTGGGGGTATTGCCTGAACAGAATTATTAGCCGTGAATATAAACTTGTCCTCTTTCGTTATCTACTGTAAGTGTTCTAATTCCATGCTGCTGTGATCTTTGTTTTGAATTCCTATTTCCTTCCATTTTTAGGTCCCAATATTGAAGCCCATGGATCTTATGGTAGAAGCGAGTCCACGGCGAATTTTTGCAAATGCTCACACATATCATATAAATTCCATTTCAGTAAATAGTGATCATGAAACATATCTTTCTGCAGATGACCTGAGAATTAATTTGTGGCACTTAGAAATCACAGATAGAAGCTTTAGTATCCTTCCTCAGAGGGACACTGGCGTTTTCCTGAGGGTGCTCTTTAGATAGTGATTTCTCTTGTTCCTTTATACACCTGTATCTCAGAGTCTGGTCTTGTAAATACCGTCGCTGCACAGCAGCCTGTGATATAAGTTCTCTGTGATTTGAAATGTTTGTCCCTAAAGATACAAATTTCTTTCTACCTTTGGGAAAAAGTTATCTGTGTGATGGGAATTACCCGAAGTCCACTGCTTGCCTGCTTTAGTCAGAGACAATTTTAAATAGGCTGCATTTGAAAAACCAACTTTATGTGTTTTTTTTTCTAAATTTGCTGCATTTGAAAAACCAACTTTATGTGGTTTTTTTTCCTAAATTTGCTGCATTTGAAAAACCAACTTTATGTGGGTTTTTTTTTCTAAATTTGCTAACGGATGATAGAAAATACTGGCTTAGGTTAGAGCGGTGTTTAATCACCCATCTGAGCAGCAGCTTCCAGTTAGAACTTGCATTCTTCTGTGGCCGTGCACGGTCTGGGCGGCCCCAGCCCTCCTCATATGGGCCCCTTTCCAGCCAGCAGGCGGGAGCAGGGGGCTTGCTTCATCTGCAGCCTCTCCAGGGTCCCTGTCGTCCTCCCTCTGCTGTCCAGCGGCTTGAGCTGGGGTTCCATGTCGTGTTGGTTTTCTTAGTTGTTTCAGCTTACGGGGTGAAACGGGGCCGCTGGTCTGAGTTGACCCACAGCTGAATTCTGCCCTTCCTTCCTTTTTTTAGTCGAAGGATTTCTGTATAGGGCAGCCTGCCATGTTGGATCTGCTCTAACTACACAGAATAAACTTCATGTCAGGAAGAGCAACGTCTTTTGCAATATGGCGGTTTTCTTGCATTTGTAGTTTTGTATGGGAGTGTGGGATTTTGCACAGATGGTGCTAGCTTGCTCTTCCTATTTATATGATTAAGTATGTACTATCTTGCTATTAAGGGCTTTCTGTATAACAATAATAACAGCAAGATAAAAGTGGTGTTCGTGTGTCGGGGTCTCCCCCGGGCCGGGGCGTTGCTGCCATCTGAGTGTGCTCATCCCAATCCTCTTACCAGGCGCTCCTTTGGAATTCAGGATGTGTAATCGGCCTTCTTAATAGCTAATCCCCTAAACCTCACCGTGTGGATTATTTTCATCCTATTTCACGTGACTGAATGTAACTAATGAAAACCAGCTGAGCCGAGCACTGTGCCTTAACCACGCCCTTCCAGACATCGTGGACATCAAGCCTGCTAACATGGAGGAACTGACCGAAGTCATCACCGCAGCCGAGTTCCACCCACACCAGTGCAACGTGTTCGTCTACAGCAGCAGCAAAGGGACCATCCGACTGTGCGACATGCGCTCCTCGGCCCTGTGCGACAGACACTCCAAGTGTAAGTGCCTGCGTCTTGTTTTTGAGACGGAGTCTCGCTCCGTCGCCCAGGCTGCAGTGCAGTGGTGCGATCTTGGCTCACTGCAAGCTCCGCCTCCCGGGTTCAAGCGATTCTCTTGCCTCAGCCTCCCGAGTAGCTGGGACTACAGGCACGAGCCACCATGCTCAGCTAATCTTTGTATTTTAGTACAGTCAGGGTTTCACCATGTTGACCAGACTGGTCTGACCTCAGGTGATTCCCCCATCTCGGCCTCCCAAAGTGCTGGGATTACAGGCGTGAGCCACCATGCCCAGCCGTGCCTGGCGTCTTTTAAAGCCTCTCATTTAGAACCACTTGTTCTTCAGACGTTGACTTGTCTCCAAAGACTTAGAGGGTTCTTCCTGTTCCCCAAGTACCTTTGTGCACCTGGGGAGCCCTCCTTTGCTGGGGCCGTCCAAGCGTGGCTGTCAGAGCTGCTGCTAGTAAGTGGAACTCGAGGTCGTGCTTCCCACAGGCTTGCGGCTGTAGGGTGGGTGCTTGTGGCACCACCGAGAAGCGGGTCATTTATGCCCAGAGCCTGGGTGTCTCCTCAGGCTGCTAGCACTGGGTCCCACCAGGAGCCACCCGTGCCTCTGCCTCTGTGCGTGAGACCTGGGCTGAAGCCGCCAGCACACAGGAGGCTGTTCCCAAGTGCTGGAACGAGCTCTGTTTGTGTTGAGCTTGGCTGGATTGGAAGCCACTTCCCTGAGCTGAAAGTGTAGCATTTTAATCCTCTGAGCTTTCAAGTTCCTTCTAGGTGAGGGGGTTCTGGTTTTGTTTTTATTTTTAGCCATAAAGAATGGGCTCGACTTGACAGAGCACTGTAGTCAGCGTGTCCCAGTGTCCTGAAACATTGCTGACCCTTCTCCAGTGCCAACAGGTAGACACGTGTCCAGTGACTTCCTCTAACGGGGAAGCCGCCAGTCAGTCCCACCAGACTGAGGCACTGCTCGTGTGCAGCGGCGCCCCCAGCGCCTTGGTGGAATGTGCCACCGACCTTGCTCAGCAGCCTTTCTGCCTGTTCTCTTTCCTGAGGTTGAGGTGTGTTTTTAAGAATTCCGTATTTCTACTAGAATTCCTGCGATGAAGATAAGTGTGTCATAGCATTTGGCCTGTATCTTAAGCGTAACATTCTTGAGTAAGTAATTTCAGATTCCAGTTCTATTTGTCATCAGAGTGACTTATTTGAGTAAATGCTTGGTGTCGGCACAGCTGGCTTGAAGTTAACTTCAGATACTAAGCCAACAAACACACAGGCTCCTACATCAAGAAAAAAGAGAAAAAACCTAAAGCAGCTTAAGGTCAAGGAAGCACAAGCCAGGTGCAGTGGTGCGCACCTGTGGTCCCAGCTACCCTGGAGGCTGAGTGGGGAGCATCACTTGAGCCCGAGAGTTTGAGACCAGCCTGGGCAGCATAGCAAGACCTTGTCTCTTAAAAAAAAAAAAAAAAAAAAAAGAAGCACATTTCTCCTGGCCTGAACTTTACAAAACCTTAAGGCATGACCTTATGCTAGGGCGGTCAGTGGCCCAGTGGGGCCGTGGGCACCTCTCTCTGCCACAGGTGCAGGTGGAGGGAACTCTGTCAAGTTACTGCAGAGAAAGCAAAGTCTGCTGAGGAAGCACTCAGATCTTTCTGAAAATAGGAATCCAGTTTTGTCACAGTAGAACTTGAGTGTTCAGTATTGGAGACAAACCTTTGCTGGCTGGCTTTGACAGGCAGGACCATCTTGGTGGTTAAAATCGGGACCACAGTGTTGCCGGTCAAGGTGGTCACTCCTGCAGACCCACAAGCTGTCAACCCTCCGAAAAGCAGGCAGTTTCTCAGAGGCGCAGACTGCTGTGTCTGCGTGACCATATAATGCTGTTTATGTCTTCCTGTGATGTGTATGTGATAGGATTTCACGTGCTCGGGCCTGGTGCCATGAGGATGCAAAGACACTCCTACAGGAATGCGGTGGTGCTGAACCTGGGCCCACATCAGGATGCCCCGAGGAGCTCCCACAGATTGCAGTGCCCAGGACCTTGCCTAGAGGTTCTGATTCAGGGTCCGGATGAGACTTGGGTGTCTCCGCTTCTGATGCCCGTCCCTTGTCCATAGCTGGTGCTAGAATGTCGTATCCGAAGCTTTTGCCCACGGAAGTCACAGAAGATCAGAAAACCTAGAGAAACAGAAAGATCAGAAGACCTAGTGTTGTTGAGGCCAAGCCCTTCCAGAGTCTCTGTGAAGGGGCCACGTCCTACTTGAACTTGCAAATGATTTGTTCTCTGATTTTTAAACAGAAGCTGAAAACGTTTTATTTTGTTTTTCAGTTTTTGAAGAGCCTGAAGATCCCAGCAGTAGGTCCTTCTTCTCAGAAATAATTTCATCCATATCTGATGTAAAATTCAGTCATAGTGGGCGGTACATGATGACCAGAGACTACCTGTCGGTGAAGGTGTGGGACCTCAACATGGAGAGCCGGCCGGTGGAGACCCACCAAGTCCACGAGTACCTGCGCAGCAAGCTCTGCTCTCTGTATGAGAACGACTGCATCTTTGACAAGTTTGAGTGTTGCTGGAACGGTTCGGATAGGTAAGGCCTGCGTGGAGATGAGCCGTCGCCCCAAGCTTGCTTGTTTCCCAGAGTGCAAGGTCAGTGAGGGAGGCGAGTTGTCCTCGAGCATCAGAGGACGCTCATAGGTGTTGTTTTCCAGACGTTTTGATTGATGGATGATAGTATCAAGGTAGAGAAAATAGGATCTCTGAGCAAGTTTCTCACCTAGCTTGTCATTCCATCTATATTTAGACAAGAAGTATAGCACTAGGTACAGGCCGGCTGTGTTTTAAATGATTAGTGAATGTTAGTTTTATTACTTTTTATTATGCCAAAGATGAGTGAAAAGGAAGGAAGTGGGGAGGGATTCACCTCACTGGAACGGCCGTGTTGCAGTCCACCTGTCCTTCCGGAGAGAAGTAGATGGAAGCACCCCAGAGCCACTGCCTGTCGTGCCCAGACACAGCGTGGTTGTGGCTGGTGTGAAACGCTGGTGTAATTTGTAATGTGCTGCTTCTAGGATCTTGATAATTTATTTTGTATACATTCTTTAAAGATATTATGATTAGTGTGGTTGACAGTTATGTTTCATTATTATGCAAAAAGTTACGTTTCAGATGATGGAAGATCATCTTGCACCATTTTAATACAGAATTTTTGTTGAGAATTTAAAAGTACAGAGGAGTCTGCTATTGGCAATAGGTGATTGACTGGATATTCTGCGAAACCCTCTGGCATAAACACCTAGAAATGCTGGATATGATACTGCAGGTGTCTCTTCAGGTGTGTAGTTGAGCCCACAGATAAGCAAGGGAAATCTCACAACAGCCAGAAACTAAGAGGCAGCGAGACCAGAACAGCAGCCTCCGAAGGCGTCTACTCTGAGAGCAGCCTTGCAGCCCCGGCTGGCCTCAGGGCCATCAGCCCATAGCAGGAGCCACTGCGCCCGTGAACAGCAGGTTGTGGTGCGGAGCTGGAGCCTTGGCCCACACGCGGTGACTGGCTCACGGTGGCTCTGCCTGTGTGAACGTGGTATTTTCAAGAGCTGAGGCCTGGGCCCACACGCGGTGTGGAGTTGGAGCAGGGACCCTGGAAGATGATGTCCCCCTCCACCGGCAGGTGGAGTCCAAAGGGCAGTTTGTCTGTCTGAGGCCTCGCATGGGGGTGGCCAGCACTCCCTTGAGACGTGGAAGCACAACCTCCCTGCACAGGGTTTGCAGTGTGGGTTTGTTCGGCTGCGTCATGATCTGTCAGGTCTCACGCCGTGGAGCTCCTGCCTCCACCAGGGCTGTGTGCGGGCACCGGGACGGACGGGCGTCTGGCTTCTACTGTGAGGGCTGTGTGCGGGCATCGGGACGGACGGGCGTCTGGCTTCTACTGTGAGGGCTGTGTGCGGGCATCGGGACGGACCGGCGTCTGGCTTCTACTGTGAGGGCTGTGTGCGGGCATCGGGACGGACCGGCGTCTGGCTTCTACTGTGAGGGCTGTGTGCGGGCATCGGGACGGACCGGCGTCTGGCTTCTACTGTGAGGGCTGTGTGCGGGCATCGGGACGGACCGGCGTGGTTCCGGCTCTGGCTTCTACTCTGTTTGCAGACTGACCTGTCAGCCTGTAGCATCTCACAGATGTTGAATGAAGACATGAGGTTCCCGGGTCCTCGTGGCACCGCAGGCAGCATGAGCCTCTCGTTGGTCTGGGTTCCCCATGGGTGGACACATGAGGCCATGGCTGATGCACACTGAGCTTAGAGAACCCCACTGCTCTCACAGTGGGCAGTAAACACACCTGCATTTTGACCAGAAGAGACATGATCTCATTCCTCAAGGCCACTTGCTGGAAGCACAGCCCTGAGAAGTGGCCCAGGTGGAGAGAATGGCGTTGTTGGCAGACTCCATGAGAACACACATGCTGGGTGGCTGCTGCCAACACACCTAGATCTCTCTGGATTTCCTCACATTAAAATCATCTAAACATTAGCTCACGGGTGAAAATTACCAAGCACATACAGGAAAAGCCACCGTGAGCAAGTCAGCAGAACCATGGTGGAACTGAACCTCCAGGAAGGCAGCTGTTGAGATCCTAAGTTAAAGAAGATAAACTAAGAATGCTTGAGATATTCACAGACTAGAGGAAGGAAACAGCCTAAACCAGGAACCACGTGACTGCTAAACATGACCTGGAGACTGGAAAGGAATCAGATCATCTAGAAATGACAAGTGTGATAGATGAAACTGTGTGGGTTTAGCGGCAGGTCCATTTTGGCTAAACAGATCTTCTATTAGTGGATGGAAAGGAAAACCAGAAGAAATGGGGGCTAAAGAGCCAAACAGAAAACGTGAGACACTAGGAACTGTGGAGGCCAGGATGAGGCACAGCACACGTTTAAACGGAGAAGTGTGGGGTGTGAGGCTTAAAGTGACGGTGGCCAGCAATTTTCGCTAATTTATGAAAGCCGGAATACACAGAATCGGGAGGCACAGAAATGCTCACCCATGTCATCATGAAATTGCAGGACACCAAACACAAAGAGAATATCTTAAATGCACCAAGGAAAAAACACAAACTGCCTCCGAAAGCGGACACCGAGAGTGAGACTCGGCTTTGCCATGGCCACAGTGGGAGCCAGAAGCCGTGTGACGGATCCAGCAGGTGTGACTCGTGACTCTCCACTGCCAGCTTAGAGGCAAGCCTTGAAATAGATGACTTGTTCAAGAATCTGCTTGTGATAAAATTATTTTCAAATGGGAAACAACGTGTCACCACAGGGAACTCAGTAGAGTGAGCTGTGAAGGGAGCGTGGCCCTGCAGAAAGGAGCTGAGACAGATGGGGAACGCAGCTGGCAGGGAAGAGCAGTGCGGACTCTGCAGCTCTGCCAGCTGGGCGACCTTAGTTAACTGTGCTGGGGGGAGAAAAATTAGAGCCCTCGCCAGCCCCACACAGTAAATAAGCTCCGAGCGCTTGTAAGCCTGAGGCGTCTTCATGAGCTCTGGAGACAGAAGGGCTTTAACAGGCCCCAAAGCCCAAGGAAAACATTAAGAAATTCAACTACATTAAATTTTAAACTTGTTTATATTGAAATTAAAAGTGAAAATCCCCAAAAACGTAACAAACAGAGATTAAGTATCCAGAAGATGTGCAGAATTAGGAGTCAACAAGAAGGTGGCAAACAACTCAGAAAAGAGCAAACACCATGAATGGGGTTTCGGAGAAATGGAAAAATAAATAGAAATGTTCATCCTTTTTAGTGATCAGCAAGTAAAGCCAGAGGGACGTCCTTTCACGCCCGTCAGAACGATGAGGGTGTAGGGGAGAGGGTGGAGACTGGTGGTCTCACCCAGTGCCCTTCTTGTGGGCCTCGGTGACATTCAGTCCGGTTGGGAGCTTCTTGTGTGTACAGACAAGAAAACATGCTCAGATACCTGAAACAGCAAACACTTGGAGACAGCCCACAGGTGCAGAATTAGGGGAATGGACAGGTAAGTTGTTCTCTGTCATAACATATACTGAAAAGCAGTGAGAATCAGTTATTAGAACTACATGGATCACATAGGTGGATCTCACAAATTTCAGGAGGAACGTGTACAGCACAATGACTACAACGTGTTTAAGACATACAAGACAGTTTTGTTTTAAGACGCGGTAACTGTTGGCCAGGCACAGTGGCTCATGCCTGTAATCCCAGCACTTTTGGAGGCCGAGGAAGGTAGATCATGAGGTCAAGAGTTTGAGACCAGCCTGACCAACATGGTGAAACCCCATCTCTACTAGAAATGCAAAAATTAGCTGGGCATGGTGGTGCACGCCTGTAATCCAACTACTCAGGGGGCTGAGGCAAGAGAATGGCTTGAACCTTGGAGGCGGAGGTTGCAGTGAGCTGAGATCGTGCCACTGCACTCCAGCCTGGGCAGCAAAGCGAGACCTTGTCTCAAAAAAAAAAAAAAAATTTGTAACTATTCAAAATGTAAATGTGTGTGTGGATGACACATATGTACTCTAGCAAGTGAAGACCCCAACTGGGAACGGGATAGATCATCTTTCTTTCCAGAGTGGTAACACAGTGTGGGGGGTTCACTGTCTTAGCAGTGACTTGCGGGTGTGGGTGGTTCACTGTCTTAGTAAACTTGCGGGAGTGTGGGGGGTTCACTGTCTTAGTGACTTGCGGGAGTGTGGGGGGTTCACTGTCTTAGTGACTTGCGGGAGTGTGGGGGGGTCACTGTCTTAGTGACTTGCGGGTGTCGGGGGTTCACTGTCTTAGTGACTTGCGGGAGTGTGGGGGGTTCACTGTCTTAGCAGTGACTTGCGGGTGTCGGGGGTTCACTGTCTTAGTGACTTGCGGGTGTGGGGGGTTCACTGTCTTAGTGACTTGCGGGTGTGGGGGGGTCACTGTCTTAGTGACTTGCGGGTGTCAGGGGTTCACTGTCTTAGTGACTTGCGGGAGTGTGGGGGGTTCACTGTCTTAGTGACTTGGGGGGGGTTCACTGTCTTAGCAGTGACTTGCAGGTGTGCGGTGGGTGGTCCCTGTCTTAGCAGTGACTTGTGAGTGTGCGTGGGGGGAGTCCCTATCTTAACAGTGACTTGGGGTGTGTGGGGGTGTTCACTGTCTTAGCAGTGACTTGCAGGTACATGGATAGTTACTGTATTCTTTATTCATCTTGATACATTTCAAATATTGCAAAATACCCTTAGATTACATATCCCCAAGACCATCTAAAAGCATTCCCAGTAACACTTGCTTAGTCCATTTACTTTCACAGACACGCCCGTCTTCCTGCCTGGAAACTTCTGTTGAGGGACCTGATGAAGGGGAGTGAGGCATTGCAGTGCTGCCTCAGCCCAATCCTGATTCTGTGTGTGGCAGCGCCTCCTCGTGTTCTAGGTCGCCTCACAAAACCAGTTACGCGCTTGTGTCTGTGTCTGTGTCTGTGCTGTTCCCTTCCTGGGCCAGCACCGGGCTGCTGGGCAGCGCCCTTGTTTGCAGTGTGGAAACACCCGCTCTGGGGCTGGCACTGTCTGTGAAGAATTTAAAAGTGATCATAAATCTGTGTAAAAGCTGATCTGCTTTTCGTTATTACCACGCACCAGCAATTCCAATGTCGGCCATACATCTTTTGTCGTCTGTGTTCTGAATAATGGTTGCTGTTGAGTTTTAATAACATAAATGTGAGCTTCAGATTCACACATTCTTATACTTACCCTTTCGTAAACATTGTGTTCTATGTGGAAACTAATTTCGGGAACTCCCAGTCGATGGCCCTCACGTGCCAACTTGGCTGCACACCCCTGTTCCAAGACCACGTGCACAACTTGGCATTGCTGGAGGGCGCTGGGCACATCTTGTGTCTCCTGCCCCTGTGGTGACGTGGACTCCTGGATGGAAGCAGGAGATGTGAAATAAACGTGGATAGCTGAGTGCAATTTCTCTTTTCTGAGTTTGTCTTTTTTGTGTGTGTGTGTGCTTTGAAGTTTTAGACAAGGTCAGCCAGACACTAGATATTTGCCAGCAGCTGGGGTCAGTGCTGGGCCATGGAAGGGAAACAGCCTGCTTCTTTCTCGTGGCACCTTGAAGACGTGCCGGCGCGAAGGCCTCTCGCCGTGCATGACCCTGGGGGCAGGACGTGAGGGTGCGGGTCAGTGTCAGAATACGAAGAGCAGACGAGCTTCGAGGACTGCTGGAGAAATCAGAAGGGCATTGTTTGAACACATCTTTCATCAGAAACTGGACTGATAAAGCCATGGGTCAAATCACGGCAGTGTTTGCTATCATTCAGCCATTTTTCTGCCATTTTTGTAGAAAAAGTAAGATTGCAGAGGTGTTTGCCAATATGAAGTTATGAGGGTGTGTGCGTTAGTGGAATTTTTCAACTGCAGAGAAATTTGAAAGCCATTACAATTGATCTTGAAGAAACAAAAGCATGGACAGTATTGTATTGTCTGGAATGTGTTGTGAAATGCAGTTGTTCTAAAATTCTGCCACACTTCGCCCAGTGTTTAAGATTTTTACTATTTCTATCCGTTGCTTCATTTGAAGGAAACTTTTTGAAATTAATAGAAAAGCAGTTTAACTCTGAAGAAACATTGACAGATATGACTAGTAACTGTTGAACATGATAAGGATTATGTTCAGGTCATTATGAATTACTGACAAATTGCAGAATTTAAGGCTTAAAAATAAACTGTACTGTTATTCATGAGTGAGATAAATAGGTGGGATTGTTTCCGAAAATATACTAATGTCATTAAAATTATGACTCCATTATTTTGTTTCTCCTGTGACTATTCTTACTGACATGATTATATATAAAGTTCAGTAAGAATCTTCACTGCATTTCTCTTCTGTTATTGTGATTGTTCATTCCTGATTTCTGAAAGTAACTGGGTTGTGGGGGAGGGTGGTGTGCACTGTGCACCCCAGGGGTGGGGTCTGAGTCCTTGTTGCTGCTCCCCCCACTTAGGAGTGCTGCTGTCTGCTCTTGTTTTGAACAGCGCCATCATGACCGGGTCCTACAACAACTTCTTCAGAATGTTTGATAGAGACACACGGAGGGATGTGACCCTGGAGGCCTCGAGAGAGAGCAGCAAACCACGCGCCAGCCTCAAACCCAGGAAGGTGTGTACAGGGGGTAAGCGGAAGAAAGATGAGATCAGTGTGGACAGTCTGGACTTCAACAAGAAGATCCTGCACACGGCCTGGCACCCCGCGGACAATGTCATTGCCGTGGCTGCCACCAATAACTTGTACATATTCCAGGACAAAATCAACTAGGGACGCGAACGTGAGGACCGTCTTGTCTTGCATAGTTAAGCCGATCATTTTTCTGTCAGAGAAAGGCATCATCGTCCACTCCATTAAGAACAGTGACGCACCTGCGACTTCCCTTCACAGACATGGGAGAAAGCTGCCTCCGCTGGAGGCCCGGTGTGTTTCTGCCTTTGGCGAGGCGCGAGGCAGGCGCTCCTGCTCACATGGAGACGCTCTCGAAGCAGAGCTGACAGACACTGCTCCCAAAAGGCCATTACTCAGAATAAATGTATTTATTTCAGTCCGAGCCTTCCTTTCCAATTTATAGACCAAAAAATTAACATCCAAGAGAAAAGTTGTTGTCAGTTACCGCTCTTCCTCTGACTTTCCCTCTTTCTCTGCCATCGCACTTGGGCCTTCACTGCAGCGTGGCGTGGCCACCGTCCGTGTCCTCTCGGCCTTTCTCTGAGTCCGGGTGGGCTCCGTGGATGTGTGGATGTGGCCCGAGCAGGCTCAGGCGGCCCCACTCACCCACAGCATCCGCCGCCACCCCTTCGGGTGGAGCACTCAATAAAAACAACACGCTATAAAAAGTGTTTTTAAATCCAAACATAAGCATTGCCTTTTCATTGCATAGAATGAAGTTATGCAGGGTTCTTCTTTGGAACTACCTGTTTGAGAAATGTGTCCCCTTCTTTGGCAGCGTGGGGGGATGTGTGCAGCATTTCTGTCCCCAAGCTGCCACCCGCTGTGTTTCTATAGAAGGAGCCCATCAGATACACCAGGTAAGGTCTGGGAAAAACCAGAACCGAGGCCACCTCTGAGAAAGAAAATTGCAAGGAAGAACCGAAATTGCTGCCATCTAATTAGCCTGGTTTAAAGTAGCCTCAAATTCACTACAGATGAAGAAACGTGCTTTCTTTCTAAGGCTTTTGAAAAAGTACTTTGGGGGCCGGGCGCGGTGGCTCAAGCCTGTAATCCCAGCACTTTGGGAGGCCGAGACGGGCGGATCACGAGGTCAGGAGATCGAGACCATCCTGGCTAACACGGTGAAACCCCGTCTCTACTAAAAAGTACAAAAAACTAGCCGGGCGAGGTGGCAGGCGCCTGTAGTCCCAGCTACTCGGGAGGCTGAGGCAGGAGAATGGTGTGAACCCGGGAGGCGGAGCTTGCAGTGAGCCGAGATCCAGCCACTGCACTCCAGCCTGGGCGACAGAGCAAGACTCCGTCTCAAAAAAAAAAAAAAAAAAAGTACTTTGGGGGAAGTATACTTTTTAAATATTGCTAAAATTATATGCATGCTAAATTGCATCCTGCATTTCAAGTCAGGAAAATTAAGTAATTTTAATTACATGATGCCACCAGCACGTTGCTTTATTTTCAAGTAAGATCTTTGATACCAGAAATCAAGATTTTCCAAGACAAATAATACAGAGCTGTAACAATGCTGAGTGACCAGAGCTTGCTTCTGTGGGATTTAACACACACCCACTACGTGTCCCCGAGGGCAGTGGGGAGTCGGGCTCCCGTGCCCCTGTGGGGATGAAGGTGTGTGCTGATCCCCCATCCTCCTGTGGGGATGAAGGTGTGTGCTGATCCCCCATCCTCCTGTGGGGATGAAGGTGTGTGCTGATCCCCCATCCTCCTGTGGGGATGAAGGTGTGTGCTGATCCCCCATCCTCCTGTGGGGATGAAGGTGTGTGCTGATCCCCCATCCTCCTGTGGGGATGAAGGTGTGTGCTGATCCCCCATCCTCCTGTGGGGATGAAGGTGTGTGCTGATCCCCCATCCTCCTGTGGGGATGAAGGTGTGTGCTGATCCCCCGTTCCCCTGTCTAGATGAAGGTGTGTGCTCATCCTGATTCCTCGTGCCCCAGTGGAGATGGAGGTGTGTGCTGATTACTGATCCACATGCACAAGAACAGGGTGTCCGTCAATACCCTGAATTAATGCTAACACAGTGCCACTTGAGTTCACATTAAGTTAGAAATTGAAAATCTAAAAGTACTTTTATTTTAACTTAAAAATAATTTCTATACTGTATATTGATTGATTGTGACACAATTTACAAAGTCTGAGGTGTGGAACAGAGTTATTTAAACATTAATCAACCCTGGTCCTTAAAAAGACAGTTCTAATAAAATGGGATTGTATATATTTGTTCAACTATTTTGACCAAAAAAAGTTTAATAAATTTTAAATGTTTAACTGGATTCTCACTACGTATTTGGACACCTTTTGCCATCTTTCCTCTAGAACGTATTTCCCACTGAATAGCCGCCTCCTCCACCTCCGGGGCAGAGCAGAAGGTGCAGCCCAGGCGGATCCGTGTGCAGAGGCTCTGTGTGGCACTGCTGCTCCCATGGGACCGCCAGTGCCTCGAGGTCTGGGGTGCACGTTCCCTGGAGGTGTCCTCACCTGGCTCTGGGGCCCCTGTGGGGGAAGTCACCTGGCCAGCAGCCCTGTCCATTTCCGTGGGTTCTCCCCAGTGCAGTCTTCATGTTCTGAGAGGCACTGGCGATTGCAGGCACCTATGTCCGCAAAAAGCAGGATCCATTCACTTCTGAGAAGGAAGTGCCATCAATAGGCATGGAGGAAGTTTCTCCTGGGTTCTTTTCCCTTTTATACTTCAGATTCCATTCAAGCCTTTTTCCATCGCAGTGAGGTAAGAATCCTGTCTTTTTCAGACTTAATATTTATTATTTATGTTCAAGCTTATGAAATACCTGTTATTTCTCTTGTTCTAACTTTCCTCTTTTCTGCTTAAAGTGAGAACAGTGTCATCAGCTTCTGAAGGTTAATGCTGAGCACACTTTTCATTGATGAAGGTTCTGTGCCTGTGGTTCACGTGAAGGTTTGCTGTGCTCTGGGGTGATGACCTGGATTCCATGAACACACTTCCTTCATATGTGGATTTAACATGCCTTTTTTGAAAGAAAAATGGAGCTCCTAGGAACCAGTTTATGATGCCATTGTGGACACACACGGTCTGATTTCGGAAGCCACACGACTGGCAGGTGTGGGCTGGAGACTGCAGCATGTGCATGTCTGTCTGTCCTGTGTGGAGCCAAGTTACCGCCGTTAGCGCCAGAAGCCACCCGAAGCGCAGTGCCGTGGGTTTGGTGTGTGTCCTGCTCCCGGCCAGACAAGGCTGGCTCCGGATCCGCCTGGCCCGGCTGCTCTGCGTCACCCCTTTGCTTGCTTGGGAGGAACAGTGGGTCTGGATCTGCGGAGGCTGAGTGGCCCTAAGCTTGCTTTCTCCTAAACCTGTGCCGTGTGTCCTTGGCCAGCGGCTTTGGCGTCAGCCAGGGAGTAGGGGAATGAGGTCAGACCCAGCAGGAGTCCGGGCTGTGCAGGACAGCAGAGGTTGCATCTTCCCAGAGCTGCAGGCGAAGGGACATGAATGAAGTGCCTGCTGTATGCAGGGTGTGGCTCTGCTCGCCCTGGACTGGGCCGGGGGTCCTGAGTGGGGCTGGAGCGGCATTTTCCATGGTGAGCTGTCCTGTTGGTGCTGTGCTGGGATCACCAAGGGAGTTGGATGGAAGCCGTCTGTGAGCTGGTGAGACAGCCAGCCAGGAATCCAGCCGCAGGTGGGGAGAAAATGCAGCTCAAACCCGTGGAGCTGAAAGGGGCCTGCAGACCACCTTCAGACGCTGCCTATGGCCACCGCTCCCCCAACTCCCAGCAGAGGCCTGGGCCTGGGGGCCTGGCAGGCCCCGTGCTCTTACCTTGGGTCCCATCCTGGGCAGAAGGACTCGCTCGTGCCCTCCGAGGGGGCTGCCTGCCGAAGCCGAGCTCAGCAGTCCCCGACAGTGGGTCTTCTCTGCTCAGGCAGTGTGCAGGGGTGGGTGGAGTGTAGACCAGATTTGAGTAAGGGCAGCACCTCCAGCCCCATGGGGCTGTCACAGGTCAGGCCCTGCAGAGCTGTGGGGTTTGACTGGTGTGGGTGGCAACCCCTCCTGAGTGCCTGCTACAGGCAGGCTCTGTGCCAGGGCTTTCCCTACAGCCATCCTGGCCATGGGTCACAGATGCACACACCACAGCACCCGGCTGGGCACTAGGGTGATGCTGGGCTTGGCTCTGAGCTCCGTGCCTCTGTGCCCCGTGTGCCCCTCAGAGTGCTGGTGACAATGCGGGGCTGCCTACAGGACACCCAGGGCTCCTTGATCTTTTAGGAACTGCGGCACCCCTGAAGCCGTGAGAGGTGCAGAGGCGCTGCCGTCCTAGGCCAGGCCTCAGCTTCTGCTGTCTGCACCTCTGGCTGCAGCGCCCGCACCCAGTCCCAAGAGCACAGCGGCTGCGACTTGTCTCTGGCCAGGGGAGGTGGTGGCGTCATACCCAGGACGGAACCCACACTTGATGTCCTCTGGGGTCTTTTTACATTATCTTAAGGACTGACAGACTCCCACCCCATCTGCTCCCACCTGTCCCTAATTTCATGCGCCTCCGCCTGAGTTCCTGCACGCATTTCCTGAATAAACACCCCCCTGTGCCAGTCAGAACCCGCAGGGATTTTGGAAGTGAGAGCCCAGCAAGGCAGCTGGCCAGGGGGCGGCACTGCCCTCTGGGGAGCACCGGTGCCCAGGACTCTGCTTCTGAGGCTGGCCTGTACAATGATTTTGTATAAATATCTCCAATTGGAACCTTTTAGTGTATTTCTTAATATAACAGAAACTGGTGTCTTAAAATACAAGACTAGCTGCCCAGTGATAGACACCAAATCGATCCTGGTTTGCAGTGGCCAGGATCCCTGACAGTGGAATGGTGAGGTTAGAACTGAAACCGCAGTTCATGAAATCACACCATCACGCGGGAGAAAAAAGGTTTGGGGTGAGGGGCAGTACCGTCCTAAGAAAGCTCACCAGCTCCATGCATCACCTTCACTCACTCACCAGATGCAGATTGCAAAGAAGCGAAACCTGTGATTTCTTTAATCATCACAGTCTCCATCTGGTGAGTGGTTGAAGTCACATTCTGTTTTCATTTTCCTTTTGGTTGCTGGGAAATGCTTCGGATAGTAATAGTTTTCGATTCTACAACTCCCATTGTCTTAGGCTCTGTAGCTCTCCATTTTCTTCTTATCCTTGGGACGTGTCTTAGACATTGCTAACAGTCTGTGTTCCTGGACCTGCAACTCAGCTGGAGATTGGGTCCCTTGTGGATTTGCAGGGACTGTCCATCGCTGGTGTATAGATGCAAAACACTGGCACCACCCAGTCAGAACTGGCAGGGGCTGCCTGCACTGCACCAACCTCGAAGATAGCCAGGCCCAGACCACACAACTGCCCACCAGGCTCCACCCCACAACCTCAGCCCAGCCAAGGCTGAGAGGTGGCTGCACTTCCACCGATCAGAGGTCCAGATAGAGCTGCGTCTGCTTGGAGTGGTCGACTGCATGACATCGAGTTTCATAATCAGTGGTACGTACTTTCCATTTATTAATATTATACCTTTGAAGATGACTGTGTGACCTTAGACAATTCACTTGCTTGCCTTGGAGTTGTTAGAAAATTATCTTTGGGTCCGGGCACGGTGGCTCACTCCTGTAATCCCAGCACTTTGGGAGGCCAAGGCGGGCGGATCACGAGGTCAGGAGTTTGAGACCAGTCTGGCCATCATAGTGAAACCCCATTTCTACTAAAAATACAAAAAATTTAGCCAGGTGTGGTGGTGGACACTTGTAATCCCAGCTACTTGGGAGGCTGAGGCAGGAGAATCACTTGAACCCGGGAGGCAGAGGTTGCAGTGAGCCAAGGTCACACCATTGTACTCCAGCCTGGGCAACAGAGTGAGACTCCATCTCAAAACAAGGTTGGGACATCTTTTTAAGTGTGTCTGTTCCAGCAGGATGGGAAACATTAATTTATGATTCCAAGAACTTTAGGGGAAATTTGTTGTCCAAACCTAAATATGTGAACACAGTGTAACCCTGGCTCTTACTGAAGTGTTTTTTCTTAAAGAAGCTGTGAACTGGTCACACGTACACCGTTCACAAGTCCCCAGAGGAGGGTGACAAAGTCTTGCCCTTGTAGATCATTTTGGATACTTGTTTCTTGGGGGTACTTCAGTTTTTGTACAAACACAAAATAAGATTCACTCGTTTCCCGTTTCTACACATGGGTAGTAACCTGTGCATGTTGGGGGGGCACCTGGCTGTCCTCACCCATTTGCGAAGCCTCCTCACTGGCCGCTGCACGGTGGCGTCGCCTCACATGTGGGACGCGGCTTCTGACGCCACAGGGCTCTGCTCTGAGGCTCTGCCTTTCTAACAAGCCCCCAGGCAGCGCTGACACCCCTCATCCAGGGACCACACTTTTTTTTTTTTTTAAGTAAAAAGGTATATTTTCCTTCTTAGTGTTGTACTTTGGAATAATTTTGAACAGGTTTTGGAAATCCTGCAGCCTTCACCCAGCCGCCTAACTGGTGTCTCCTGCAGCCTCGTGGTGACTCGCACCGTGCAGGGCTAGCAGCCTCAGCTGCACCTGTCTTGGCACCTGCCTGGCTGTCTCACAAGTGTCCATTTTTCCTGTCCAGGGCCCTTCCAATGGGCCCACATTGTATTTTGTTGTCTCCTTGTCTTCCAGTCTCTCCTGCAGTCTTTAGGGCCCGAGCACTTGGGAAGTGTGGGCAGGCATTTTGTAGACTCCTCCTCGGTTTTAGTTTGCCTGATATTTTCTCGTGATTAAACTGCAATTATGCATTCTGGCAAGAACACGGAAGAGATCTGGCCTCCTCTGCATCAAATCAGTATGTAGGTGGTGTCTACCAGGTCTCTTCACTGTCGAGTCACTATTTTCCTTGGTGTAATGAGTATCTTGCAGGGACACAACGAGAACATCCTCTCAAGAACCCAGTAACTTTAGTTTCCGTCGACAAATCAGCAGTTATTGGTATTTGCCTCATGGTGACTTTCTATTATTATTTTTTTTTGAGACAAATAACCATCACCAGCACCGGGACCCAGGGCTGGCCGTGCACAGGCTGCTGGAGGATCATTGCTTCCAGGCCCTTTTGTGGAGTGGCACTTGGAACACCCCACCACACACAGCTCCAGCTCAAACCGCGACTCACTGCTAAACCGAACCCAGCAAGCCCACGGCTTCATGCTGGCCTGCCTTGTGACTGTCCAGCGGTGGGAAATCAGGCTGTCGTCATGTGTAACATCACACAATGTTAGTACGCCTGTGGTTTCAGGATTGCCAACCCAC